ATACCGTGGGTGTCTCATCCAATACATGCGGCTCGACAGTCTCGTCCAACTCGTCCACGACTATCTTGGCCACATCAGATGTGGAAGTGGAACCATTCGCGGTCTGGAACACGATCTCGTCGTCATCTTTCACGATGTCGACACCCAGGCTCTTCGCCTTGGCTCTTCCAATGAGATCATGACCACATCCGGTGTCCATCAACCATTTCACCCGTTTGCTGATGCACGTTGACATGGCGAAAACGTTCTTCGGCATACCATGCTGCTTCTTCCAGTCGACAGCCGATTCCTTGATCTCGTCCTTGTTCCGATCATACTCGAACATTATGCTGCTCTCCTTGGTCACCGGGAAGTAGTGCTTCTTATATATATCATCCACTACTTCTCTCAGTATCTTCGCACGTATCAATGATCGTTGGACTTGATAGGCTGACAATTCACGATGATCACTGCTTTTGAACTTCTTCTCGTCGACGTACACGTACTGATAAGGCTCATTCTCATTGTCCTCATAACCGTACCATTCCCCTTTTCGTTCCCATTGCCTTCTCTCGTCTTCGAGGTAGGTGATCTCCCCATTCTCGTCGACGTCGAGCACTTCCTTGAACCACACCATTTTCTCGGGGATCTCGGACTCGCCAGACCATCTCGATGATTCGCTCATCGCGTCGTCATCGTGCTCGTGGTAGACAGTCTCGGCTTCGTCCGGTTCGACCTGATCAACGTCCTTCTTGAAGCTTACCTTCCCTGCAGGAGCCGATTGCTTCAGGACTATCGCGGGCATTGCGATGGCCCTCCTCGCAATGGCAGGCGCTGCGGCTTTGGCGGCAGCCTTCGACTTGGCTTGCGCCTTGTCATTTGACGTTGCTGGAGCTGAATTGTTCTTGATGAGCTCATGCCTGTACTTACAAGCGCTTCCCCTATCGCACTTCCCCTTCTGAAACGCGAAGCATGCTCCATCATCCCTCTTTGGTGACGATGATCTGGACTTGGATTTGCCCTTTCCTTTCCCCTTGGACATGCTCTCCAACTTATGCTCCGTCTTCTTGCTGTGGGAAAAAGTGCATTCATTCCCTTTCACGCACCCCTTCGCCGATTTGAAGTGGTACCAGCAGGGGTTATCCTTGCTTCCGCCCGGACTCTTGCCTCTGTCGCTGGCACCGTCGGACTTGCCGTTCTTGCCAGCGTGGCCCTTTGCCTTGGCTTTTGGGAGCACAGGAGCGGCATCAGGTCCACCGGGTTTCCCCTTTCTGCCCTTGCCACCCTGGTTCTCCTGTTTGCCAGTTGCTGGAGCCGCATCCTTCCCGCCTGACTTCATCATCGACTTGACCGATTTCTCCTTCATGTCGAGCATCAGGTCTTCCCGATCTGCCTTGATCTGATAGTCGATCAACGCCAATAAGAATTCATACGTCTTCTGAGGATGCTTGTCCGGTAGTCTATGGTAGGCATTGAGGCCGAACTCCATCTTCTTGCTCCCTTTGATCTTCCTGTAAAGGATGTCTCTGAGAGCCAGCTTACTGGGTCTGTCCTCGCTCCTCATCTTCAGCAGCAAATCATACCATTTGTTCCTGAACATGACCAAGTTCTTGTCGCCAGGAAAGTCAAGGTTGAATAAATGCTCGATGTGGTAGACAAGATCCGTTCTATCGGAAGTTCTGAATGATTGCATAACTAATGCCACCAACTCTCGTCCCTTCACGATCACCCCTTGTTGATGTCGTAGTTCAGAGTGTCGTGTAGCATCGAGGTATACGTCCTTGGCTTCGTCAGGTGCTTGTTTCAGCATGTTCTGCATGCCCATGGCCATCTTAATATCTATCGTAGCAAATCTGTCGCCACCTGAATCGCTAAGCAAATCCAGGTCTGGGTTCAACCCAAGAGCCTGCTCCAGCCATTTCGTCCATGCGTCGGTATCTGGATCTGCACATGCGCTCAGAACATTCATCAGCAGTTGCATCTTCCAGGTGTCAAGTTGATGGATCTTTGGCCAGGCCGGAATAGATACTCTCTCGGCCTCTTTCCTCGAGATTCTCGGTCGATCATTCTTGATCTCTCGGTTATCTCTCGATCTCCTTCGTCTCCTCCGTGTCCGATCGTCTTCTTCCTCTTCTTCTTCCTCGTCTTCCTCATCTCCTTCGTCGTCGTCATCCTCATCCTCATCATCGGGTGGATCATCCGGAGGTCCTCCTCCGCCACCAGCGAGGCTCAACTGACGTCGACCCGCTCCCTGCCCATTCCCATTGGGCGGGAATCCACCGTAATCCAATGGGGGCGTAGTACCGTTGTTTCCCCCCCCATCACCACCACCAGTCGTAGTAGTGGATTGTGGGACATGCCCAACAACCCCTTGCATCTGGGATAGGTGTACATCGATCATTGGATCACCGAAAGACGGAAAGAGGATCGAACCTGGCATCAGCGACGAATTAGGGATTTGATTTGAAGACGATGACGGGACTGACCCAGCCACCTTCTTGTCTATCCTATTTGAATTAGCCTGGGTTCCTCCCTCAGCGCGTTTCACTACTGCTCGTTCACGATGTCCATCTTTGCTGCTGGAGGCTTCCTGTGTCTCCAGCTTCTTGTGTGCACGTAGTTCCTCGTTGTCAGCATCGAGTTGGCGTACAAAACTCTCTTCTTGCTTGAGCGTCGCCTCTCTTTCTTTCAGTTGTCTCTGAAGCTCATGCATCTCCTCGAGGTACTCATCGTACATTCCCTTAGCTGTCAATCTCCAGTACTCAGCCTCCTTCGACTTCTCGTCCATCGTGCACCGTTCCTCTTGTTTCTCTTCTTTGACCTGGGCTAACTCCAAGATCGCATCCTGACGATGACCACCTTCGACAGCAATCATCTGGTCCTTCATCGACACGTCGGACTCATACTGTTTGACGATCTCTTCTTTTTCGCGAAGCAAGCAATCTGCTCTCTTCGATTCCTGTTCCGCAAATACTGTAACGTCATTCAGCCTCGCCATCAGCTGTTCCCTGGAGTCCTCCAAAGAGTACGTCTCGGGGCGCTTGACGAGTGCATGCTCCAACTGTGATTTCAGACTTTGGACCATCTCCTCCTCGTTGAACTTCTCGATAGATGTAGAAGATTCTATGCCTCTGATCTGTTGCTGATAAACTGATATCTGTTGTGAAGCCTCACGGTGTATCTGATTTGCACGTATAGCTGATTCCTGCGCGGCCGACTTCTCGCTTGCCATGTAGGATTTCATCAATGCAATCTCCCGCTTCTGCTCCATGATAGTTCCTTCAGCTTGCCTCATCTGTTGCATTATAATATTCGACTCCATGTCTTTCTTCTCCCCGTACTGAAATGCGTTCATTTCCACCTTGCGCATCTGTTGGGCTTCTTCCTCAAACTTGCGCCATGCCTCAGCCATGTGGTGTTGGTGGTGACTCACTAGATGTCCCGACTGCTTGCTGGCAATCTCGCATCGTCTTTCCAGCTCCTGGATCCGGATGGTGCTTCCATAGTCTTCTTGGTTAAGATTCGCCATTGCTGCCGACATTTCATCAAGTGTCTTCTGATATTCCCCGATCTCCACCTCCATCTTATTCTTCTCTTTGATCACGGCGCGAAAATCTGCACTGGTGGGTGATTTTGACCTCCCACCCTTCGATGTCGATCTCACGCCCTTCTGCGACGTCCGTGGTGTCGCAGGCGAAGATGATGATCTTCTCGGTGGGGATTCTCTTTTCTTCGACTCCTGATGAACATCGATCTGCTTCCATGATCTTGTGGGAGTAGATATGTCGCTGAATAGCGCGGAACCTCCGCTCCCAGGTTCATCCTGTGAATCTGCAACCATATCCATCACCGCAGGAAGAGCCATCAATCCATTGGATCCCTCTGAGCTGCTGTTCCCAAAAGTTGCAGTACTTGGGCTCGCCGAAGACGCCATTGTACTGTGTAGGTTATCGTTCCTTTATTGTCCCTGTACCCGCAATAAACCAGCTGTCTCCCAGTCCAGTGTAGAGCTTGTAGTTACGGCTGATAACCTGTCAAGAGACGGCAAGGTGACGTCCCGTGGGACGCTATGCACCGAACCCTCAAGCTGTAATACCAACCACGTAGAAAGGTGTATACGGACGATGCCGTTATAGCCGAACCCGTGTAAACGTTGTAAGGGAGAAGGAATGATAGTTACAACAGTAGTCCTGACAAATGCAGCGCAAGCGAAGTGTTTTCGCTCTCAATGCCGATCACGTATGTATGCAGTCACACATCAGATCTTGAACCTCAATTGTGTCTTGAGCCAAATGGCGATCAATGGAACTTGGGAAGCAACACCAACAAGGACCTCAGAACAGCTACCCAATTTCGGCACGGGGCCTAGAGGGTTTTAACAATAATGAACCACAAACAAACTAGACAAATGTGCAAGCTTTAGGCAGAAGCTAGCGGTCGTTGAAAGAGTCTGTACAAAGAGCATTGTAGCAAAGAACCAAGAACATGCTTGCCAGCACTTGCTCTACATGGGAGCATTTGAGTTGAGACGTGATAGCGTTTTTAATCTTTAATTTGTGGCAAATGAGCTGGATGCATAGTCGTATAGGACTCTTTCAGCGTGATGTCCACAAGATTAGGTATGTTGTAAATCCTGCAGTAACAATGGATTTGAGGCCTTCAAATCCTGCTGACGGATTGAATTTCAACGGGTGCATGGCTTCGCAACAACGCCGCTACCTTCGTTTGACACATGCCTACATGGGTTGGTCTCTGAACAGGTTGAGACCTAGAGGGGCTAACAACGGCTTCAAGTAAGCCACAACCCTGTACGGCTTGAAGCCCTTGTAACAAGCTGAAGGGAATCTACACTTGAAAACGACAACACCACAATGGGTGAAAAAGGCTGCCTTACTTCAAAAACACATCCTGTGCATGCGAACGCAGAAGAGCCTACAAAGATACGAACCCGGTCAAACAGCGGCCGGCGAAGGTCAGGGCTTGCCACCCACCAAAGGACATGTCACACATGATGACCGCGCCTCTGAAGGGTGCATCTTCAGACCCGTTTCCGCCACCATGCGCATGTCGCGCTTGCGGGCAGCATCTGAGGGCCAAAATGAAAAAAGATTTCAGGCTGCAGTTCACATGATTAGCGCCCCATGTCCTACTTTCAGGTTTCTCCTGACCGATGTGCCCTCCCATCTCGCAAAGAGCGCCTTTCGCTTTTCGATGAGTTTTCGCCTTTAGTTCGTTGTGTAGGCAGAGCCTGCCTGAGGTGTATGTGTGTGTGTGCATGAATATGTGCATGTGTGTGTGTGTGTGCGCGCATGTTTCTATGTGTGTATGTATGTATGTATGTATGTGTGTATGGATGGATGGATGGATGGATGGATGGATGCATGAATGGATGGATGGATAAATGGATGTATTAAATTAAAATGAATGGATGGATGGATGGATGGATGCCTGCCTGCCTGCCTGCCTGCTCTGTCTGTGTGTCTGTCTGTCTGTCTGTCTGTCTGTCTGTCTGTCTGTCTGTCTGTCTGTCTGTCTGTCTGTCTGTCTGTCTGTCTGTCTGTCTGTCTGTCTGTCTGTCTGTCTGTCTGTCTGTCTGTCTGTCTGTCTGTCTGTCTGTCTGTCTGTCTGTCTGTCTGTCTGTCTGTCTGTCTGTCTGTCTGTCTGTCTGTCTGTCTGTCTGTCCTGTCTGTCTGTCTGTCTGTCTGTCTGTCTGTCTGTCTGTCTGTCTGTCTGTCTGTCTGTCTGTCTGTCTGTCTGTCTGTCTGTCTGTCTGTCTGTCTGTCTGTCTGTCTGTCTGTCTGTCTGTCTGTCTGTCTGTCTGTCTGTCTGTCTGTCTGTCTGTCTGTCTGTCTGTCTGTCTGTCTGTCTGTCTGTCTGTCTGTCTGTCTGTCTGTCTGTCTGTCTGTCTGTCTGTCTGTCTGTCTGTCTGTCTGTCTGTCTGTCTGTCTGTCTGTCTGTCTGTCTGTCTGTCTGTCTGTCTGTCTGTCTGTCTGTCTGTCTGTCTGTCTGTCTGTCTGTCTGTCTGTCTGTCTGTCTGTCTGTCTGTCTGTCTGTCTGTCTGTCTGTCTGTCTGTCTGTCTGTCTGTCTGTCTGTCTGTCTGTCTGTCTGTCTGTCTGTCTGTCTGTCTGTCTGTCTGTCTGTCTGTGTCTGTCTCTCTCTGTCTGTCGGTCAGTCTGTCGGTCTGTCTGTCTCTGTCTGTCGTCTGTCTCTGTCTGCCTCTGTCTCCGTCTCTGTGATCTGTCTCTGTTTGTCTCTGTCTGTGTCTCTGTCTGTCTCTGTCTCTGTCTCTGTCTCTATCTGTCAGTCTGTCTGTCTCTGTCTGTCTGCTTGCATGCATGTATGCAATTGTTCTCACTGTACTGGCAGCAAATACTTGCAAAAAACAGCACAAGACAGTGCAGCGCCCCTTCTTCTTGTGGATTGCAACCCGAGCCACCATAGAGTTGACAGAAGTTGAGCGATGCTGCTAAGCGATCCCGCAGCACTTCAACAAACACGAATCAGTCAGCGTTGCGCCTCCCAGGCAAAACTACGGCTGATGTGAAGCTCTCGCGCCATGTGCGCACACTTCCCAAAGCTTCGACAATGCTGGTTTCTGAGCTGGCAAAACCCGCTTCCCAAAAGAACTGAAGTCATGAGGAAAGAAGTGAACAGGTCTCAAACTTGCCACAGTCAAAGCTTTTGCGGGGGATGTCCGTCGTCGTCAACAGGCACGCAAAGATCCCCGACGGCAGGTCTGTTGTCCGTCTAGGATAACAAGTTTCAAAATCAACCAGGGGTTTTGCGATTATACGTAGTGGAGCCAATAACTCAGTGGCGCTCTCATGGCCGCATGGAAACGAAGCGAGTGCCAACTCAAATAAGGATGGCGCTGCTAAAATTCTCCCGTTTCGTGTCGCCAGGCTGACTTGCCTCCGCCCGCCTCAGCTGGCCTCCGCCAGTGTCACTGCCAGTGAAGCCACCAGTGAAGCCACCCACTTCCTGAACTCATCGCGCGACCTGCGCGAGCGCATCCGCATACTGCGTCTCCGTAGTTTCAGACTCCTGCAACTCTGCTCAAGCCGGCCGCATCGATCTCCACCCTCTTCTCCGAGAAGCTTGTGGAAGCCTCGCGCGGGCTACGGGGATTGCCGGCTGCATCTAGGATGGCACGATCTTGTTCGCCGCGTTGGTCGAATGCCACAACGTGCTTCTCTGAGAGGCCCTTGACGGGCCGGGATCAAGCCCCTCGGAGAGCAGGTGGTTCTTCATCCTGAAGTAGGCCACGCGTTGTCCCACTTCAATTGGTCCTCTCCGGGGCCGGCTCCTCCACAGCATGGCCTTGAACCGCTGGAACTTGATGAGGGCCGACCACCTCACATCCTCCAACTGCTGCAGCCGTTGGCTGTCTTCCAGCATCTGCTTCACTTCGGCGTCTTGGCCGCCCTTGCCATCCTTGCCGGTGTTGTAGAAACCACAGGCACGAGCGATGTCGGTCAGCTTCTTGCTCGTCACTGCGAGAGCTTCCACAACAGTCATCAGCGTCAAGAGCTTGATCGGGCTTGATCTCCAAACAACCTCGCCATGAGGAGCTTCAGCAACTTGAGGGTAATCCTCCTTGTCAAAGACGACAGCAGCGGTTTTTTTCGAGGTTGTTGATCCACGACCACCGGCTCATCGGCATAGTCGCCCTTGTCATAGTTGTCCTCATGGCCGGAAGTGAACCATGCCTTCCAGCGGCAGTCCCTGCCAGGTCGCGTATTCCTCTGCATCGCGGCATTGCTTGCGCAGCACACCAGTCACCGTCATGCCCAGAGGGTGCTGGGTGCGAACCACGTCCAACACGTCATTCAACCTGCAGCCAGCAGCAACAATGAGGTAGCACGTTCATCGTAGTCCATCAAGTAGTTTGATGACACTGACGAACTGGGGACCGTCTCGCCCTGCGAACACCCGAGCGCCTCGATCTCTCGGATGACGCAACCTTGCCTGAACAGCTCCTTTTCGAGAAAAAAAAGACTCAGACAGGTCCTGCAGAAGCCGCTCGACGCCCTCCTCGCGATCGTAGCGCTCATCACCGATCTCCTCCAGCTCGGTCTCCGCCTCACCCTTGAGCCCCGGCCCGAAAACGGACAGGTGATGCTAACCCAGTGCAACAAACGCTTCCTGGAACGCCGACATCGCCATCAGACGACGGGGGTGTGGGCACCTGTCCGGAACGCCTGCGAACACGGCCGCGTTGTTGGCCGTGTCTGACTTGGCCTTGTTGCTGCCAGCATCGGACTTGCTCTTGTTGCTGCCACGTCGCTGTCCACGCTGTCGTCGCCGAGGTTCAGTCGCGGGGTTCTGGGCCGATCTGAGATTGCAGGGTCGGGTTCGACCTCACCATCCTGCGTCAACTCCTCCTCCTTGGCGGCCAGGTCATCATCTTCGCCGCCAGGCGCGCCTCCGGGATCACCCTGGTCGCCGCCATCTGGTGCGCCCGCGCGCTCGTCCATGCCTCGTAGAGGTCCGCGTCGAAGAACATGGCGTCGCAGCAGCCGGCAGATTGAACTCAACCGGTGTCGCTACCATTGCGATTATTCTGTGATGGAGCCTGGATCTGAGTCGCGTTCTCATGGCTGCATGCGCTCGATGTTTTCACCCATGGGAATGTCCCTCCGCTCGAGCTGCAATGAAATTGCATGTACACATGCGAAACGAAGTGAATGCCAACTCAAATGCAACAATGGCAGAGCCAACCAACAAAATGCAAATGGTCAGTTTTCCATTTATCCCCGTTCAAAGCACGCAAAATCGGTTGCTTCCCTTTAGGCCACACCCACCCGGGCTTTTGACCTCGCCCCCTCCCCCAGTTCAAAGCCCAGTGGCGCGCTTCGCCGCGCAGAATCGAGCGCAGATCCGCCCAGGTGCGATGAGCCTCAGTCAGGGGCTGTGGATCTCCTTGCGAGAAACGGGCGCCTTGCCTGGTAGTTGATGGGTGCAAGACTGAGGCGCGGGGTGCTGTTGAAGGGCGCTTTTACAGGGTGCTGCAAGGGTTGCTGGAGGGTGACCAAAACTTTTCGCGGGGGCAGGGACTTGTTGCAGTTTTGCAGGGTCCCGTTTCGTTGTTGTCTGTTGGAGGGTGCTTAGGATTTTGATGGGGAAGAAGATTCGCATTCAAGGTTGTGTGTTCGTGATTGCGTGTGTGTGTGTGTGTGTGCAGTAGTCTAGCTTGTTTACGTTGTGTTTTGACAAATGCAAGACTTGCAATCTGGGGTACACCTTGGTGTACACTATGTCCTTGAGTCAGGTAAAGATGTCCGTGCACCAATTCGGCGCAAAACCAAACATCGCGTTTGTTTTGAGAAACCACCGAATTTGCACAGCTTCTCACCCGAAGCCGACGTCTCTCGACACGAGCGGGGGCCTCCAGGCGCTTGTGCCTGGCCCCGGCGGAGAGGCCCTCCACCAGCGCCTGCACCGCCCCCTCCGGCAGCCACGCCTCGACTCGGCGACAAAGCGACGGCAAAGCAAAGGCCTGGCATTGTCTCAAAGTTTCTTTCAATTGGGAACTTTCAGAGTGTCTCGAGGGAATCGCCCGTGGTGGCAGGAAGGGATCTCAATTTTGAGAAACTCCCAGATGCTTGCCTGTGACGAAGCCTGCAAGCCAAGGCATACCCGTTGACTGACAAAGCTGGCTGCTGGATGGGCACTATTCACAGCCCAAGGGAGTGCTAGGAATAGAACCGCAAGGGATACGGAAAGTACAGGCCAGCTGAGAACTGTCGCGACGTACGATGGCTGTGGTGGAAGCCTGCCTGACAACCATCGCCATCCGCTCCCCATCCTTCTACTCTAGAATGCGTTGAACAGTGAGAGGAGCATTTTGGGGGGGAGGGTCCCATTTTGAGACAACGTCATGTATCTAAGGTAAGAGTGGGCATGCAAAACCTTGCCAACACTTCTGTCCTGTTGCATCGAGCATGCGCAAGTAGGCGCAATGGCATAACAGTGATCAGAACTCCAAAAGTCAAACATAGAGGGCCCTCGGGGGTGCTCCAAAAACCAAGTACTAGAAGTTGGTTGGAAAAGCAAACCAAGAGGACCCAATTCCAGTTCTTGATCTTTCTTTTGAGGTTCAGAGCAACGTTTGCCCTCTCTCAGAAGGCATGATTGCTGTTTTTGGTGCCGGGCTCCTGCTTTAGCTCCAGGGGATACTTCTGGCCCTGGATGGTGTGCAAGTTCAGCGCCGTACCTCCACGGATCTGTGCGCAAAAAGGCAAAGGGCCAAACACACCGAGTCGGCTAAACCCTCTTTTACCACGAAAGATACCAAGAAACATACGGGGAAGAACAAAGCCGGACACAGCTGGGTGCAGGCCTCCCTGCTTGGTCAGCGGCACTGTCCACTACTGAGAAACTGAGTGACTTGATAGATCCTCATGTTCCCCGTCACATCGAACATCTTTCAAAGGCTGGGAATACAACTGGTTGCCTTCCTTGCATCGAATGAGCCAGATCGGCTTGAGACATGCACACCCTGAAAGGGCATCCAGTCGCAGCATTTTGAAGCATGACCTACTGGCGCGAATAATCATGTCCGATTGCCAAAACGCTTCCACCTGCTTGAAGCCACTGACCACCAAGCCGTGGGCAACAAGAAACACTTGAGGATTTTGTGGCTTCGGTGTGAGTCATTTCCCGAGAGAGTCCTTTAAACATCACCCAGCAAAAGGGAAACTAACCTTCGAATAGTCCCAGTGCTGTAAACGCAAGAAAAGCAAACACTGGCTCTGCTTCAGGCTTCTGACCAATGTTCCCGGTACCAAGGCCCCGCCTTCTTGGGACACCTCGCGCAGCTCGGAAAAGTGAAGGCCCCGCAGCGGGGCGCCCTGGAGAGGGCCCGTCCAGGCTCAGGACGTCTCTTTCGTTGTTGCGTTTTCGTGTGGCGGCAACCATCTCTGGACAGGCAACACACACCCAGTTGAGTCTGCCTAAAAAGGGAACCAAGAGGATGCAAAACCTATTTTGGGGTTTCCATGGTTCCCCTATTTTGACACAAACCCGATTGAGGAGGGTGAGGACTTGCCGTGGCCAAGACTCACGTGAAAATGCGCTGCCTGATGCCCGTGGTTCTTGATTTGGGCAAATCATTTCTCACGCGCGGAGTGCTGGCCCGGAAGTTCTGACGCACCAGGGAACGAGGTCATTGCCGTTTTCCATTGATCCTCAGCCCTCGTGACACCCGGCCAAGGCCTAGCAAATCGAGTGTGTCTCCCTTGAGCGCCACTGGAACAAAAAGCAGGACCCGAACAGAAGGCATCCTCTGCCAAGATATGAGTTTGTCTGATCCTTCTGTGTGCTGATGATATCCACCGAACAGGCAAACGTTGGTTCTCTCCTCACGCTTTCTGAAGCTGGAAAATCCCCAACGAAGCAAGTCTTCCCCAACAAACCACCGGGCCACTTGCATGCCTTGCGAGAATCACCCGCCCACTGCAGCGGCCTGCTTGTTGCTCTTCAGCGGCGGGAAGCCTCGCTCCAGTCGCGAGGGCGCTTCCGGTGCCTGCAGGGAACGCCAAGAAATGCTCCAATCCCTGTAAGCAAATCGCATCGGCCGGGACAAAAATCCGTGAGGGCCGTGGGGTGATGAACGCCAGAGGTTGTATAGCATGCACCCATGGATTTGTGAGGGAAGCAACCGCTCCGGCGGTCCCTCAGTCCCTCAAAGAACAGTCTCATCTCCCTGCTCCTCAGCAGAAGCCGAAGCCACCGCCAACTTGTCAGAGAAGAGGAGTAGCACTGATTTGGCCTTACCATCTCCACCTGCAAACGGCACAGCCACAACACAAAACTCGCATGGCCACTGCAAATGGAAATACAGCATACATAGTCCTTCCCAGTAACTCTGGCTGGAATGTGTGTCCAAACATCATCAAATGTGTCAAAAGGGGGGACCTGTTCCGGGGTCGTACTCTCGCCAATGTCCTGGGCCTCTGATTCGGATCCCACAGCCTCAAAGCAGAAGCTTTTTCCAAAGGGTCGAGGGCTTCCCAAAGAACCCGCGAGGCCCTGGATATCATACCAATGCCCGAAAGTCAGCCAAGTTCCTGAAACAACCCAAAGCATATGTTGCAAACAAACAACCAGAAACAAACAAACAAACAAACAAACAAACAAACAAACAAACAAGCAAGAAGCAGAGGCAATTCTATCAGCTCCGGGGCCTGGCTCCAGCGACACAACCTCGCACACCCCGCTCAGGCTCTCCCCGTACCTGGTCACTTCACAAAAAGAGCTCCTTTTTGGGATCCTATCGCAGCCAAAGCAAAGAAGCCGAGGGCCAATTGGCGAACACGCAAAAATAAGTGACAATGCTTGTTTGACAAAGTGTTGTGCTTAGCCTCTTCGCCTTGACTTTGTGGGCTGGCAGCCAACTACTTCGGATGGTCAAAGGCCAACAGCAGATAAGTTTATCCCATTATGCATGGGGCTTCATCCATCCCAACTGGTGCAGGATTTTGTCCACCCACTGTATGATTCCAAACAGGCAGCAATTCCAAAAGTGCAAATCACATCAAGCATAACCTTAATAGAGCTTGCAGGGGAGCGCTTCTCGAAAACCAAAATGCACGGCATGGCAGGCATGAACTCATGGCTTGCACTGACAACCTCACAAGCCGCAAAACTGAAATCAGTGCCATCCAAGCTACACACACTGTTCGTTGTTCCCTGAGCTTTGGTGGGTCCCCTGGTTTTGTAGGAAACTTGGAGGAGCCCGCCCCCCCCAACAGCTCCTCCACAACCTGGAATCTTGTCAATTGCTCAGCTATTTTCAACCAAACTGATCTAGAGGGACAACTGAGCCTGGTGCTCAAGGAGTCTACCCAAACCCCTCGCAAAGAATCAAACGGGTCGATATTCGCACCCCTTACTAACCTTCTACCCAGTACAGAAGGTGCCTCACCTTCCGGGCGAATATCGCGCCTCTGCAGCAGCAGCGCATCAATGTTCATGTAGGGCCGCACTTCACCCAGCTCGCCTCAGCCCCGGGCCCATTTGGTTTTTTGGTTGGGGTAGTGTAAAAGGGACATCGAACGAGTTCTCCAACATGTGTAAAGCCGTGCTGTGAAGGCTGCAAATCCATGGGCACTATTCTCGAAGCGCTGCTGCAGCACAGGGGAACCTGCTTTCTGAAAAGAAAGGATTACAAACGCTTGGAAGGTTGTAACAAGGAATCCATCGCCTCAAAATAGGGTAAACAAATGGATGGTGTCCCCTCAACCCCGCCCAACAAGGGTGCACTCTACATGAAACCTCACTGGAAGGTCCTGAATTAATTCTGATTCAAAGCAGAGATTTGGATTGGATTATGTCCTTGTCAAATTCAACTGAACTCTAGTTGAACAAGTAGTTCTTTATTCAGTCCCATTCAATTCCTAGTAAAGTGAATTAAAATTAAGAATAGCGCGGGGGGCTTGTAAATTAAATAAGAAAAGATCTTGGGACCTCTGAGAAATGTCCATATCAATTCTACGTAATATGTTTAGCAAAGTATTCTCAATTTCCATAAATGCAACTGAATAGAAGTTAACAAGGAAAGAGTCCAATCAGAATAGCTCTTTCAAAACCCAACTTAACAAATAAATATTCTATGTCAAAACTACAATTATACCGGATTTCCTTTCTGCGGTTTTGGGCGAAGAGGGCAAAAATCCCGGTAACACAACTCAGGGGAGCTGTGGTTGATGACCAGGTTGAAGGACATGACAGGTGTAAGAAAGTAAGTTGTTTGAGGGTTAAAAGGAAAACAGAAAGTATTGCAGGAAGCAACTAACCAAGTCCAGAACCTCCAGCCGGAGCTCCGCCCACCTCCTAACAGCGGAAACCCGCAGCACCGCGCCCTTTGACTGCGATGATGAAAGTCTCCGCCGTGCTATTGCGAACGCACGAGGTCCCTAGAGAATTCTGCCGAGAGGCATGTTACTTGAGCCATACAGCCATTCGGCACGTACGCTTGATGAACAACACGTGAACTAAACACACCCCCCTCATCCGATCTGGTTCACGAAAATCCCGCCACCACCCCGAATTATGGAGGAGCCAAACGAAGATTCCTCTTGCGCCGTTCAGACGCTACATGTGGCAAGGCGGTGGCAGTCGCCTTCGTGCTCATCCGATGGCGTCTCCTGGAGCTTCTCATCGCAGGCCTGGCTTCGGTGCTGCCGCGCCCAACGCCCCCGGCCAAACCTTTGCCTCCGGTGATGGCCGCAAAGCCGTATCAACCTTCCTGAGTATAGTGACAGCTCTGTCCGCCTCCCATGTAGCACATCACAAGGCCTCGCTGGGCAAACTGGAGTTTCCCTTCCTCCTGGCCTCGGTGCAAACGTCCCGAAAAACAATGCCAGGGGCCGAGACACGACGGTTATCTGCAGAGGAGAGAGCTTGCCCACGCTGCAGCATATGCCACCTACCTTTCATTCGTGCACTATGTGCAGCGTTTCTATGTGTTTGGCGCGCTGCCCTCAGTCGTCTGGGAACTGCTCTCTCTACGCAACATCGGTTGGCAGAGACGGCATTCTCCCTCCACATGTCTACAGGCAGGCTACGCGACCGCGTGTTACTTCGTTGCCGTCAGAGGCTAACAAGTGCGACCATTGAGCTTCCAAAAGAGCCTGCTGCCCATGAGCTTCGTGACTGGGTTATCGCTACGCGCGAGATCGTCAGCAACGCGTTCAGCTATGACTCGAGCGAATCGGGGCTTCGATTCTGTGACGCGCTGGACTACGTAGGCAAGGGCATTGAGAAGGGCGTCGCGTTTCACCTGACTACATCCATGCAACCTCGACGGTGGCCTATGACACCGTCTTGCGGACCGTCCTCAACCCCAGGACGACGTCAAGCAAGAGCTTGCCGAGCCCAAGGCGAGGAAAGCTTCACCGAGCGGGCCCCAGTGCCAAGGATGAGGAAACGCCCGACTGTGACTCGTCTGAGAAAGCTGAGTCTGAGTCGGATGATCCGTCTCAGGATGACGATGAGCCAGAGGAGGTCAGGAGATGAAGGTGCGGAGGATACACCTCCTCCCCCTCCCCCGCCACCACCTTGGCGCCACCTGTTCTTCCTGCACATGTCCGACCGATTCAGGAGGACACTGGGGTGAAGATTCCGGGCGGGGTCACGTCCCCGGCGCCACCTCCTCCGCCTCCACCGCCGCGCTGCCTAGATGGATCCGTTTGCTGCAGGTGATGCCGTCTATTCTGGTATATCCTGTTCTGTTCAGCCCGCTTTTGACTCGTCGGCTGTGAGCTCTTGGAGGTGCGGTGGTCCAGACAGGATCCCCTCCCTATAGCGCATGTTGGGATTATTCCCAGTTATAACGATTCGGCACGCCGATTCGTTATCCTCCAGCACGTTGATAATGAACGGCTGGGTCTCCTTCCCCTTCCCAATAGCGTGCTGCCAGAGGGTAGCTAGTGCCATTCCCTCCTTAGACACTCCATGGTCGAGAGCAACAATCTCCGCTTCAGGAGTCGACTTCGAAACGGATGTCTGTTTCTTGCTTATTCCAGTGATGGGCATGTAGGTCCTAGGACCCACAAGGCAAATAAGCACTCCCGATGCGCTCTTGGAATCAGTACGATCCCCAGCCAGATCCGCATCACAGTAAGCAACCAACTCAATGAACTCTGGGCTATCGCCCACCCAACCGTACAAATGAAGGTCGAGCGTAGAGTTCACATATGAAATTAACCTGTGGAGCTTGCGGTCACACAGATGATTCCACTTCGTGACCCGGCTGGCTAACGCCTGCACGGGACGAATCAGGTCATACCTGCCCATCCGAGCCCCGTAGAGAACTTTCATCAGCACCGCCGCCGCGTCATTCCCGAGGCATCCTGGCTGCGCATTGACGGTCTCCATGTCCATCGCCTGGTTGAAGAGCTTGTCAAATTCAGGATTGACGGAATTCTCGTCAAACTCCGGCTTGCTCTCGTCCAGGAACGGAGTTTCAACCTTCTGCAGCTTCTTCGGGTACTTTCCCTGACACAGCTCAATGTATCTATCGACACACGCCTGCATGAAGCTGCTCTCGCTGTACTTGATGAACCTTATCGTGGTTTCCGGCTTGGGAAGAGGGGCAAGTAGCGGGTCACGGCCCGCAACCGGGTCACCAGCCACAGCTTTCTGCTGTTACGGCTGATAACCTGCGGTTTTGGGCAAAGATGGTATAGCCCTGAAGGGCGCGACAGGTGTAAGAAAGTAAGTTGTTTGAGGGTTAAACGGAAAACAGAAAATATTGCAGGAAGCAACTAGCCAAGTCCAGAACCTCCAGCCGGAGCTCCGCCCACCTCCTAACAGCGGAAACCCGCAGCACCGCGCCCTTTGACCGCGATGATGAAAGTCTCTGCCGTGCTATTGCGAACGCACGAGGTCCCTAGAGAATTCTGCCGAGAGGCATGTTACTTGAGCCATACGGCCATTCGGCACGTATGCTTGATGATAAAACAACACGTGAACTAAACACACTTTCCAAAAGAATGTTCTTTACACATAGAATCACAAGACATTTAATGCTGTATCAAGGCTTTGATGTGAGCTACATAACCCAGGAGCTCTTGCACCTAGGCCTGAAACGGGAAATGCAGAAATACCAGGACAAGCTCGAGAAAGTCCAAAACCCAAAAAGTAAGTTCAGACCCCATGTCCCAGATTCTGAAACAATTGGGGCTTGTCGTTGTGTTTGGTGTTGCTTTCTCGAAACTATTTGCATTGTTTTTGAACAGTGTGAAACACCTCGAGAGAACAGAACAAATCAGACCCCATAGTTTTGCTTCTGTGGTTTTTGGTTGGCTCAAGTGTTCCTTGCCGCATGCATACGTAGAGGCAGATGCAGATCATTCTTGCATGTTCAGCTTCCACATGCTTATGTTCATGAAAAAACGCACCCTCAGGGTAACGTGCTCTGTTTTGAGGGTACCCCTTTTGTAGGCTGGATTGATTAGAGAGGGCAGGCAAACGGAAACTCAGAGCCAAAACAAATTGTCCAGCGCCGGGACGCCGAAGAGCAGCCGCGGCAGGCGCAGCCTCCGTGTGGCGCGGCGCCGCTGAATAGCCTGGGTTCTGGGATTTCAGAGGGGATTTTCAAAATAGGGGTCCCCCTTTTGGATGGCTTTAAGGAGAAAGCAAGAGGAAACCAACCACCCGAAGGGGTTCCAAATTTGAGAAACCGTCACATTTTCTGCAGGGCTCCTGATTTGTGAGGGAGCTACATCTGAAGTGGACCCCACCTTGGCTGTTTTCTGCAGGCAAAGGAACCCTGAAACTGACCTTGAAACAGGGCTACCTTATATGTCTCCTTAAACCATGTCCCAAAAGGAGCCTAAATAGCTATTTTGACATGCCCCAGACAGGGACATTTGCCCCTGTGTTGTCAACGCTCAACGATTCATCCCCAAACTACCCTCCCTCCAGAATCATAGAAGCTGACAGGAAGGTGTGGGAAGACGACTTCCCTTGTGGGAATCTTCCTCTCCACGCCGGTGACTGCTGGAAAGAGGATGGATGTCATTGGGGACCCTCGCAGCGCGACAGGGACGCACTAACACCACCGATGAGGGTCCCCGCCACTTCCACACTGCCCGTGCCTCATTTTCGTTGAGCTGGTTGGTGGTCGAGGCAAGACCTGAGCCCACCTGCGCGCGCAGGTTGCTCAGCAAATGCCAGGGTTGCAACCCCAAAGGTCTGTTGATGACTTTGAAGCCACCTGACGCATCACAACTCCGCGAGCAAACTGAAGGAAGCCGGCGGAAGGAACACGCTGCTCAAAGGGACGCTGTCACTTGCTTTCTTGTTGCTCTGTTCAAGAATCATGCAACATACCTTTTGAGCACACCCCAACCCTCCCAAGTGAGGATTCCTCTCACAGGGATTTCGGCACACTCAACAGGTATGTTGGAGGGCTCTTGGAGTTTGGGGAGCCTGCAAGGAGGATGGCCCTCTTGCCACCACATGAAAATGATTACAGCAACCCCCTTTGCTTGGTGTTTGAAGAGTAAAGAAAGGAAAGCAAACCCTCGACAGGTCCAACCTTAGCCCTATGAACAACCTTGCGGGCCCACCTCACCGATGGCAGTACCGATGGCCGCCACCGGCTTCACGATGGTGCCCATTGCGCCCTTGGTGAGGCCTGGCGTAAGAAAACAAAGAGCTGGGGCGCAACTTGGAGCGAGGCCGGGAGACGAGATCTGTGGCCAGAGCGAGGCCAGCGATGCCGACTGCTACTGTTCTTACATGCGTGCTAGATTTCGTGTGTCTGTGTGTGTGAGTGTGTACGCGCGTATTGAGATATGCTTCCAAAATCGCCAGCTCTGGTCTTGCGAGCATGACCGTCAGCTGAGTGTCAAACATGCGAGTGTCAGGCAAGTTTGACTTATTAGCTTTTGACTTTCTTGTTGTAAGCGCGGATGCCTTTGGTGTTGGCTCTTTGCGCCAGGGAAAGGTTATCTCGGCACAATGACCTCCGCACCGGCATGAAAGCCACAGCCTCTGTTGAGAACCAGGGTCATCCCAAAGCCCCAAAGTTCGCTGCAGCCAAGCAAATGCCTCTCACTGGGTTGCAAATGAGACCATTTTTGGGTTTCATCCCTGCCTGTTGCGAAGCCCCACAAGCCATCCTTCTTGGCTCCTTCCATGGGCTTGTTCACCACGTCCAACATGCCCTCGACTCCTAGCATTCTGAAAATGCGCTGAGTTCATTCATGCGGACCTCTGCAGCTGAGCCTTTGGGCAACCCGTCTCTCACTCAAGTGGATTGATCTGTCGCAACATGTGCAGCCTGGACCGCCTGAGGCTAAACCCGGATCGGTGCATGCTTCAGCCCCCGAGACCTCCGGCAGTACCCCGAAAAATTTTAGCAGCAAGGGAGCAAAGGCTTGGGAACACGCCCCCCTTTCAAGGAACCGGTTTCGTTCCCTCCTTCCCACAGCGACTTGCCCGCAGCGGAGAAGCCCTGGCCGGCGCCCTGGATGGGGCCCTTGGGGGCACCTGAAATGAGGCCAGGCAGGCGGCAGCTCCCAATTCGGAGATGGGCGTGGCAGAACCCCCCAACCCCCACCGCGTTTTAAGAACCGTGACCCGCTGCCAGTACCGTTCGGGGAAGGTCATCAAAGTAAATGGTTTTGCTTTGTCCGGGTAGATCAGCGGCCGCAGCAGGTCATCACATTTGTTTGAGTGTTGCGGCTTGTTTGGCCGCTCCGCGAACCTGTGTAATGACCCTGATGGAAAACCCAATGAGGTGGAGTTCTTCACAGTGCACGAGTCGCTAGTCTGAATGACGCTTGTTTTCAGAACCAACAAAATACCGGAAGATAAAGGACATTGCAGTGCGAAGGAATTGAACAGGTGCAGGGTGTCGCTCCTTGGATGGCTCAAGAATCTGATCCTCCAGATAGCCACTGAATGATTCATCAGTATGGCAGACCAGTATTTAGACTCTCCGTGAGCCCAGCTGTGTCCATGTAGGTTGCCCAAAAGCAGATTCCATATGCACCAAATCTCCACCAAGGCGCGGTTTTTCCTCGCAATGTACTCGTCGTCCAACGTGAGGTTCCTGCAAACTCGAAGCAGCTTGAGGGGAGACCATCAAGTGTGACATCTTTCTCTGATCCAAGCCAAGCACAAGGCCTTTTTGTGGCAACCTCCACCATCGCCCTTCCTCGGAAGAAAGCGCCCGCGCGGTCGCGAACCACCCAAAACGGCTCCTCAGCATGGACACGGCGCCGTCGGTGACCCCCTTCAAGTTGTCCCCCACCAGGGCCACCGCAGCGCCACCCAGCTTCAGCGGTGCCTTGGGGAGATTCAGCAGGGAGCTTTTGCCTCAGCTGCACACAGGTACAGGGGCTGCTCCAGTTTGCTGCGGGTGCCGACCGAAACATATAGCTTACTTGAGTTGCTCTAACTTATCAAATATATGTATATATATATAATGATAATAATAATAATCATAATAATAATCATAATAGGATTTAATCAGTAAGCTTCGATTATGAACTGCTTGTCAGTACAGAGTACCCACAATAATGTAAAAGTGTATTAAAATGGGTCTAGAGGATTACGGTAGTATACAGGGTCGGTTAGCAAAGTTCATTTGTTTATATTTGCCTATCACTAAAGCAGAGCCCTAGAAAACCCATAGTTTCATATCCAAGGCTGAACGCCAACCTGCAGCACTGGCACCTCATGCTGAACGCGGGAGTCCGAGCAAACCAATGGACAAACGAAACTTCTTGGAGCATCACTTCGTACTTGCAGCTGGAGCGCATCGTTTGGTTTACTGGTACATTACGGCGGTCGGCAGGGGGACTGCCTGTGTTTGGTCTTGCTGAATCAGTGTGAAGTCGAAAGACAAACAAGCCAACCACTGATAATATGGGCCATGCTCGCATCGGGCGCCACCTCATCCTTTGGCGTCACTTGCCGGAGCGCCCAGCAGGGAGGCAATATGGTCCAACACGGAGTAGGCGTACTGGCTGCCAATGGTCGTGGCGTAGTCCTGGCAGAGGCCGGACGCGAGGAATGATGTGGTTCTCTACGCGTCACCCGAGATCAACTGCGTCCAACTTTGGACTCATTGCAAGCGCGCACATGAAGGGGCTCCACTTGTCATGGATCGTCCCCACTGAATACAAAATAGCCATGACACAGGAGTGCCAACATAGAACTCTTCAGTCCTCCGAATCACGGAAATGGGAATAGGAAAGGGAGGTCCCAAAAAACCAACGTTATTGAGGCCTACACGAAATATTGCACGCAGCTCATATGGAACCTCTGAAATAGAATCCCGGCACACGCTTGCGTTCTTGCTAAACAACTACTGTACTGTCACTTTCTTGAGTACAGTAGATGATGGAAAATATATCCTCCTATTCGGATACGTGACCACTTGTCAAAAAGTTGTTTCCCAAGTTGTTTGCCGTACAATTGACAAGCGCACACTAGCGCGCGCGCCTTTTCTTAGCTGCTTTGGGACGAACTATCTGCTTTCGCTTTCAGTCCAGTGACTTTTCAACCGTACTGGTTGTTCAACTGCCTGCTAGCGCGGTGCTAGCGCGGAGCTAGCGTTTGGCTAGCGCGCGCAATTGACTATGTGTTCAGCATATTGCCAGCCACTCTAGTAAAATCGCAAAACAAGAGGCCACTGCGCACGATGCATAGCACATCCGTATCTCACATCCCAGACTGGATTTGATCCCATTTGTTTGATTCTCGCGCGGCCCGCCTTGAAATAGAGATTAAACAAAAGCCAAGAAGTAATTCAATACACCCCTTCAGCATTTCTGACCGCCATGTGTCACATTTGTGGCTTTCCTGATGATATCTTTTTAAACAACCTTGAGAAGGGCACCCTGCAAACAAACACACACACACACACACACACACTTGAACTCCCAAGGGAGAAGCTGTTCCTTCGAGTACAACTGGTGAGTCTCGAGTGGGTGGATTTTCGGCTTGCACGACACTTGGCTTCTTTTTAGTGTCGAAAACGCGACCAGATCCAACATGAAGCACACACAGTGAAACAAACAACGGGCCAAAAGGACTTTGTATCACCGGCAGGTGCACGGGTTGGCGTCCCAATCCGCATCACGCGAGCGCTGCATGGGCGTCTTCGTTGGCTCCCGTCCCACGCAGGCTCCGAGAGCCCCCTGCTGAGAATCGGAAAAGGTGGCGACAGGGTAAATCTGTCGCTCCGCACACACACGCCCCTCAAAGAGGGGCGAGTAGCTACGTTTTTACGGGGGGAGCAACCCTAAAAAACACGCGCCCGAAAGACGGACGAAGACCCAACGGAAAACAAACGGAGCAAGAAAGCAAAGAAACAGAAAGCCCCACATTGGGTCTCCGCAGGCAAAACCCCACACAAGAAACACGAAAACCAGGGAAAACCAAGTTTAGGGTCTCCGACAAGGGCAAAAACCCCAAACAGTCCGAACCCTCCTAAACCTCGAAGACGGGGAACACCGCGAAGTTGAAGAGCGAGAGGAAGAACAGGCCATCCCTAAACGGGCGAAGAGGAAGCACAGGATGAAGCGGGGAGGTGGTAAAAGAGAAAAAGACGGGGGGGGGGGGGGGGGGGGAAAGAACAAAAGAAAGAGAGGAAGAAAGAAAGAAAGAAAGAAAGAAAGAAAGAAAGAAAGAAAGCAAGCAAGCAAGCAAGCAAGCAAGCAAGCAAGCAAGCAAGAAAGAAAGAAAGAAGGAAAGGAAGAAAGCAAGAAAGAAAGGCAGACAAAGGGGCCGAGATGCGTATCTTGGGCGCCGCAGCCCGCCGGAAAGAAAAGAGAAGAGAAGGAGACAAGGGAACAAAAAAGGTGGAAAAAAGGGGGAAAGGGGTTAGTATGCGTTTTTTGGGCGGCGCATCCCGCCCGGACAAAGACAGAGGATTAAGACCAAGGCTCGAGGAGGACGTCGAATCCCACAAGGGGGCCAAGAGGACGAACACGAAAAAGCAACGGAAGGAGAGGAAGACGTCAAGCAAAACTGCGTGAGGAGAGCGAGGAGCAAGAACAGGTAGACAGGCAGGAAGAAGACGACAAGGAGAAAGGTGAACAGCGCGAAGACAAGCAGGTCATCCCTAAGCGGGCCAAGAGAAGGAGGACGAACGCGCGGGTTAGGCACAGCAGGAAGAAGAGCGAAGGTGTGAAACGTTCTATCATCTGGTGGCTGGGCTATCTTTAGTGAAACGTTGAAACGGTTGAAATTGCAATTACGCTGGTTTGATGATCAGTACGATGAGGTCAAATTCTCCGGTAAAAACCGGCCCGGGGTCACACGATGGGTACACCCGAGGACTTGAACTCCCAAGGGAGAAGCTGTTCCTTCGAGTACAACTGGTGAGTCTCGAGTGGGTGGATTTTCGGCTTGCACGACACTTGGCTTCTCTTTAGTGTCGAAAACGCGACCAGATCCAACATGAAGCACACACAGTGAAACAAACAACGGGCCAAAAGGACTTTGTATCACCGGCAGGTACACGGGTTGGCGTCCCAATCCGCATCACGAGCGGTGCATGGGCGTCTTCGTTGGCTCCCGTCCCATGCAGGCTCCGAGAGCCCCCTGCTGAGAATCGGAAAAGGTGGCGACAGGGTAAATCTGTCGCTCCGCACACACACACACACACAGACAGACACACACGTTTTCAATCAACCCCACCGCCGGAAACTCCACACTCCGCCTGCAGCGAGCCGCGGTGCGGCTCCAGCTGCCTGGCTGGCAGCACCAGGCTCACCTCGAGGGCTGAAGATGACTTGGGTGACGGATACCAACAACTGGATTCCTTTTGGATACCCACGTGATTGGCCTTTGGCGCAATGGAACTCGTCCATCAGCCGTTTAGCGTCCCCTGAATGTCAGGGTCATAGAACCTTAGAACCTCCCTGTCAATGGCGAACATTCCCTTGCAACGCGATTCAACTGAAGACTTCCGGTTTTGGACCGGGGAGAGGCACTGTGGTTCTGCTTTGAATCGACACATGGCTGGCAAAAGCTTCGGGTTGCTGACAACTGTGGGAAGCTCTACAACAGGTGGGTGCAAAGATCTCTGTGCCTGCGCATCAACATCTGGAAGTCCCGAAATCTGTCAGAAAGAAGAATAGCACCTTGTTTGTCTCTCTCTCCCTCTCTCTCCAGAGGGCACTTTACTGCTTTCACTTATGTTTTTTGGAGGCGGAGTACTGGAAATCCACCTTCAAAGTCCTGCCTTTGCAGGGGTCTCTATTTGGCTTGGATGCCACAGGTTGCCTGGGTGATTTCCTGGCTGTCCTCGGTTGGCCTTGCAAGAATTCTGGCATCAAACAAGTTCCCATCAGACTGTCAGACTCCTCTTATTGCAGTCCACGGGCGTGATTGTTTCACAAAGTTCAACTACAACAAGGGACGGGTTCTTGGCGTTCCATGGCCGCTTGAGTCTCTCGATTGGTTGAGACCCAGGGAAACATCCTGGTGCGATGTCAATGGACTCTTCTTCGCGCAGGAAAGATTCCCAGGAGATGAAACCAAGTGGTCAGCTGACTGAGATCGCTGGAGGGCTGATCCAAACAACATCGACATGGATGACCCTAGGAAAGAGCAAGGCTCCAAGACGACTGCTACACTATTAGGCTTAACTTTGTCCAAGGGCCGGCTTCTTCCCACTCTCTCAGTGGGACCTCCTGTGCCTTCTCTTCCGCCGAGAAGCCCCGTCCAGGGTGAAGAAGCTGCTGAAGGACAAGACTTTCAGGGCCTCGCGAGCCAGGGCCTTTAGCAGTGGCGTCATCCTACCCCATCCCTGGCCACGAAAGCTCAATGCTGGTGTTGCAGCATCAAGCCTGCTGGTGCGAGTCTTTATACCTCCTCACTACACAAAATGGATTCCCTCGCATGTGTCGCAACAACGGGGCCAGCGGGCTGACAGTGCCGACGGCGCCACTGCTTGCAGAGGTGTTTTGCACAGCAAGCCGCCACGCGATGGTAAAGCCAAGCCACTGCTCGGACATAGACGGGAAGGAAGTCAAGGTACTTCAGCCGCAATGAGCACCACACCTGGGGCCCGCAGTTTCTTGGCGAAAAGGAAGGGACCCTCAAAAAGACCTGAGATGCTTCCGAAAAGGGCCTGCGACTTAAGCCAAGGAACTGTGGTGTCCAAGCCGCCGATCTTCACCTGCTCTGCTTGCACCACAGCTGGTACGTCAGGAGCAACATAGCCATCCTAGGCCACCAGCTCAGATAAGACGCCGCCCCGGAAGGGGTTCCATCCCTTGGCGCCTGCTAAATGGAATCTGACCTTGCTTCCAACAATTTCAGGGAGTTCATGACAGGTTGCTGTTCATGACCGGGGCCACGCGCAAGAAAATAGCTGCTCCATGTATACATAATAATATGTATATTTGTATGCATGATCAGCAAGTCCCCCTCCCCCTCTCCCTCAAGATCCCACTCCCCCTGTGATGTGGCTTGGGATTCCCTCCTCCCTCTGTGGAATTCCCCCACCCTCCCGTGGCTTGTCTCCGCTTGGTCTAAGTTTGACTTGGGATTCGCGAAGGATAATTTTAGGACTGGTTTACGGTGGGCATGGGATAGTTCTAGGATTGGGTTGCGGTCGTTTCAGGATTGGATTCGCGCGTCTGTTTAGGTTGCTTGAGGATTGGTTAAAAAACCAAGGACCCACCGTGAGAGTTTCGATTGAAGCCTCTTGATAAAAATGGCCAGTGTTTCACCACTGACCAACCCCTCAATCAATCTCCAAAACCGGGGAAAACGATGACACCCATGGAAAATCCAGGAAAATGCCTGAAGATGCAACAGCTGCAAGCCGTGTCAGCGCATGTCAGAATCGAGTCTGGCAAAGTGTCCCTTACAACGTTCCATATGTGCACATAATATTTGCTTGAGGGCCCTTGGGGATGACAACTAAAAACTCCATGCCCAAAAAAAAAGAGTAAAGTGTTGTAGACACAGTAGGAGGTCAATTTAATGCAAGTTGTGTGTATTCCATGTTCGCTATCTCATGGCTCCAGCCTCATGTTGATCCACATTCAAGTACAAAAGGTCCCACGTTCAACCACCGGTTTCTGACTCTGGCAACCAGAGCGTCCTCCACCGGAGCGAATTCCCAACGTTTCCCCTGAAATAAGATGGTGCTCAAGGTGATGTCTCAACCATTCCAAAAGAGACCTGGTCCCTCCTCACCCACCCCCTACCCAGGCGCCGTGATTGGCTTGCCGGCTGTGCTCAGCAAATCTTCGGCAGTGCTGCCGAAGACATCCAAGCCTCCTATCCAGCGGTCGGGGCACTTGGCACTTGGCACTTGGCACTCGCCCTTCGCAGAGGCTTACCCGTTCTCACAGAAATCGCTGAGGCTTACCCGTTCGCTCCTCCTCCGAGATCTGAAAGCCATTGCTTCAGGGGTGTGAGCCACATCTCGTCCAGCGTGAAGTCCAACTTGTCCACATCCAGCTGAGAGGAGGAGACGCAGAGGTCCCTGGCACATAGTCTGGTTGCCTGGAAGACTCCTCAAACAAATGTGCCACGAGGCCCACCAAACAATCGAATGAATGAAAACTGCACAGCACGATCGAGGGAGACTTGCTCACAAACACTCACTCCTGCCAAGCTACACGAGGCTGAGGGGATATAAGACAACCCCCAAGTAATCTATCAATCGCCAATGGTCAGAATCTACTTGGGTTTGTATTGCTTTAGGGTACCCCTTTTGTCAAAAGGAAACCGATCATTTTAGGGGACTCCGATTTTGAGAAACACCCACTTACTGGGATGGTCCTCCTCCCAACTGCCGATCGACAATCCCCCGAAAGGTTCTGCCCTGACTCACCGCGCGCTGGCCTTGAGGAAGTGGCTTGCCGGATCATGTGAAACTGCAGGAAGGACTTGCCTCCTGTTGCAGATTCGGAGAAAGGATTCTTCCCGTTGAAACAACACTTTCTGCGCTCACAAGGAGAGTGACTAACCCCAACCAGACAGACACTTTCACAATGTGATGGTGGTTTTGCCTTGGATCCGCTGACGGCCTTGTCCCGTGAGGGGGTCGAATATTTCTTATCCAGCTTGAATTCGGTCCAGGGTCCCCTCAAAGAGTCTTATCCAGCCGGCTCCCCTGAAGGAGTTGGGCCCAGGGCAGCGTTCCGCACCCTCTCGACGCTCTGAGCGCCGCCTTTTCCCTCTCTTTTTTTCGGTCGGCGCTCGGCGACCAAGGCGTGGCCAGTGAGATGCCTCGAGGCTGGGGTGGTGCAGAAGTGCTGACACCAATGAGTTAGAAAGGAACTGGCCCAGGGTTCCCTTTGGCCACCCAAGAGGAAAACCGCTAGGTTTAAGTCTAGCCTCCAGGGATCTTGCTGCTACTGGAGCACTCCGAACAGGCAGCAACAAATCCGGCCACGCCGCTTAAGCCTTGCTACGTCATCCGGCATCATCCGGGATTCAGGTGGCTTTGATGTTTCAATAGGAAACCACCTGGAAAAGTGGCTAATGGGCATGAATATCCACCTAAATGATGTCCATCAAAGGGTCTGTTAAAAATTCATATATCTTGGGATGCATGTTCAGTGTTTAGCCAACTCACAAGACACTGGATAAATTGGCATACGCGACATACACAGCTTGTGGCATCGCATTCCGGCTTGCTGTTGGCCATCATCAGCATCATCATCATCATCATCATCATCATCATCATCATCATCATCATCATCATCAGTACTATCATAATTATCATTCTGCTTTATTCTTATCACCGTCACCATCATCCTCATCCCCATCCTCATCCTCATCATCATCATCATCATCATCATCATCATCATCATCATCATCATCATCATCATCATCATCATCATCATCATCATCATCATCATCAGTACTATCATAATTATCATTCTGCTTTATTCTTATCACCGTCACCATCATCCTCATCCCCATCCTCATCCTCATCATCATCATCATAATCATCATCCTCATCCTCATCCTCATCCTCATCATCATCATCATCATCATCATCATTCATCATCATCACCATCACCATCATCCTCATCCTCATCCTGCTTCTGCTTCTACTTCTGTTTCTGCTTCTTCTTCTTCTTCTTCTGCTTCTTCTACTTGTTCGGCTTCTTCTTCTGCTTCTTAATTCTTCTTCTACTTCTTCTTCTTCTTCTTCTTCTTCTGCTTCTTCTTCTCCTCCTGCTCAAACTAGTGCTGCCGAGCATGGGGAGGACTGAAATCATGCATCACTGCAACTCTCCTCCTGCTCAAACTAGTGCTGCCGAGCATGGGAGGGGTAATACTGAAATCATGCATCACTGTAACCCCACCATAAGGGTCTTTCGAAATCAAACTTGGTCTGTTCTTGCCCTTGAGTGGAAGGACACATCAAGCAGATTTTCGGTGAGGCTCTAAGCGTGACTGACAGCAGGTCCACCATCACAGGCACAACCTGTGAGAGCTCTCATTACTAGCACATATCACAATATGAAGCGTGCGCTTCTATTGTTTGTGTCAACAACCTAGCCTTCTCTCACCTTCGCTCCCTGTCCGCCAAACTGCCTCGCCCAGCACGTAGCCCGTGCGGGACACTTTGGGCACTTCAGGCGAGCTTGGCACCTCAGCTGTGCCTCGGCCGAATGTGAATGCGCTTGAGCTGTCGATGGCCCAAGCACGGCCCGGCTTTGGGAGGGTGTGTCCACAAGAAAAGACTACTAGAGGCCGGCCAGCCGTCTGCATATAGGATACCTTTTGAATCTACATGACCCTTTCTGATAGCTTGCTGTTGGCTTCACAGTTGGGTACAATTTTACCATATTTGTTCGTCTCTTTCTACTATACCCAATACCGCAAGTTTTCCCAGTCGGCCTCTACCTGTGTTGCCGTTCTAACTCTATTGCTCTTTGACGAGCGCTTCCTTTTCGCATAGCCGTTTGGCAAGGCAAACAAAATCTGAGATGTACCCTCACCAGCTCTGGCCATCTAAGCCGGCATGCCTTTGGAGAATATGCCCAAGGCAGCACGAGGGAAAGGAATCAGCCAGTGGACAACTTGCCAAGATTCCTGATCACAAGCCGGTGACACCTTGAAGGTTGAAAGCAAAAAGTGCAAACCGAAGAGCAACAAACTAGAGGCAAAAGGTGGTCACATCCGCATCTGAGCACTCATCTGCTAGTCACGACCTTCACTTTTGGAAATGATACTCTCTGTTTCTCTTTCTCGCCCCCTAACACAAGACTGGAGGTAGGATATGATGAGAGAGCTAAAAGACCTGCAACTGCTTGTGTTGCGCTTGCAGTTGTCAGCTCATTAAAACCTTCCTGAGCTGCCCCTTACAGGTCCAAATGCTACGAGCCGCAAAGCTCCCTCGGAGACTCCTCACGCTGCTGGCGCCAGTACTCATGCCCACTGCCGCTGCTAGCGCTGCTGGCGCTACTCAGGCGAAGCCTCCCGGCCTTGCAGGGCTTAGCTTTGGGGCAACATATTGCCGCCAAAAACCGACTGGTGCCCCGAAACCGCTACTCTGGCAATAATGTCAGCGACCAAATTTCTGGCCTTGGGCTCATGGCCCTCGGATGTCAGGCTCTCGCGCACGGGCTCAGCGCGAGCAGCAGCGAGATATTCTCGCGGCCTTTCGTCCTCGAAATCCAAATCCACCCTGGCCATCACCGCAGATGCGCTCCAGGTCTTCCTACCAAGCAGATTACGGCAGATTAAGGGTCCAAAGGTCCAAGGGTCTGCTATGATCGCAGCTGTCTCCAATGGATGGGGTTGCCTCTCAAGTCTCCCATCTCCTTGGCCTGGCACCTTGCGCGGCTTTCCCACCAGTCCTGATGGAGAAAGTCGGCGCCGCCGCGTCGTCGGCCAAAGTTTGCCAGAGCTCAGGCGAGCCACAGTCTTCGGCATCGCTGTATGTCGAGCGGCCACAGCGCGATAGGGAGATCTCATTTTCTTCGGCCTTGGGAAGAAATGGCACCAAATGAATCAACAACAAGTCGGATAAGTAACATGAGGTGGAAGCAACCGCCCATGCTGGCGCGCAAAACGGCGATGCATGAAGTGACTGAGACTGCTGCCTTGCATCGCTTCTTACTTGGGAGTTTGTAAGCAAAGCAAGGCTCCAGTTGAATCCACACTTTCGATCCAGAACCAAATGGCGCCCCAAACCGTTGCCAGGCAGCGCTTGACTCCCATTGCGCCGCTCTGCGCACAGCAGTCGGCTCGCGCTGAGGAAGGCCTTGCGCACCACGTCTCAAGCCCTGGTAATCTTTTGCCAAATTCAAGCGGGCCAAGGCGACCAGCTGAAACCCACGCCGGAAATGGCTCTTCATTTCACCAACACAAAACAGTTGGCCACTGGTCAAGAGGACCATGCCAGTTGTTTCGGATGCGATTCCCTCTGCTGAAATATGATGCTTCTCAAAAGAAGCATGAGTGGCACCACATGCGACGACGCAAACCAGACGGGCAAAGTCTGAATGAACTCGCTCTTCAGCATCTCTTGGATCAAGGAAGTCTTCAGTGTATCTTTTATCTTTTATATCACTCTACGGCTTTCACGTCTGCACACGGCCTCTCACACCAACTTCTCTACTCCTCGTCTTTGAAGGGCAGCCGACTTCTTCAATGATCAAATCCGATTGGGAAGATGGTGCAAACATGGTTTGACTCATTTTTCTGCGAACGGGCAGCAACCTAAAGTAAGCATTTGGAGGCCTCAGTATTCTCCACTGCCAGACAGCAACAAGTCCCTTTTGGCTTGCTTCAAAACCTACGTCAGAAAAAGGGGTGTCCAGTTTTGACACCTCCCAACGCCACTATCCCTCAAGCAACCCACCAAAGGCAAACTTGCCCCTTTGTGGCACACTTTCCAGAACCATCACAGCCACCCCTGACATGCACCAATTGGAAGGTGCAACATTATAAACAACTCGGTCAACCGGGCGCGTAAAATACATGTTATTTTGATTAAGAATAATACGAATAAACAAATTCAATAAGGAATTGTTGATCTGCCAGGTTGCCGGTATCCCAGCTCAAAATCATGTCCCTTCTGTTGAAAACCAATCGAAACCGGCGCAATCTATTTCCAACCAAACTACCCTAAAGAGGACACCTATGTCCACCCACGCATTTTTCAGGGCGTCCCCTGTCCAAATTGCCAATTTCCCCACTCCGGGCGCCTTTTAAGGGGATCCCCCGAAGCCGGCGCCGCGGTAGCGGCGCCAGCTGCGAAGGGTTTTGCTGCAGCTCCGCACACATCCGATGCGAACCGAAAGGCGTGGGTCGCGCACGTGTCTTTTGGAACCGGCAAAAGAAGGTGTCTCCCTGGCGGGTTTCTCTCTATGGACACCTCAAAAATTGTCCTTAAAGCTCAAATATGCCTTTTGGACATTGCGAGTGTCAACATGCTCTGGTTCGTAGGTTGTACTTGCTAGGCTTCATTCATTTCTTTAGCTGACAAGCAGTTCGCCCTCAAATGTGGGTTCAAATGGTGCTGTGATATTGGCAGGTGTATGTGCGTGCTGGGGTACCTAATGATACTCTCGTGGAATGCAAGGATTCAAATGAGGTTGCAGTTACATCCAACTGTTTCTCTGTGTGAGCTTCACTACACCAGCAGCACCAAGGTGTCACAAAACATTGTAAACAGCCTCAGTTGCCCTACGGCTGATTTGAGCCAACAGCGAGGACCTTCCGCAAATGCCCGCGACAAGTTGAATGGGCCCTTGCCTACGGATTCTTTTTCATTTGACCCTACACACCCCTTACGTACATGGCACGAAAAGAAAAGGGTATCAGCAAGAGCCAGGGGCAAGGGTGAACGCAAGCAGCACACTCGAAAGCGGCCGATGTGCTCAGTCTACCAGACCCCTTCGACCAACTAGCCAGAGGTACTCATACACTTAATATTGCCTTGGAATATCTTCCCGTGCCTCCCAAGCATACCGCCTGAGATGCAACCCGGCAAAACGGCCTATTCTAGATGGATTCTGCAGGGACCCCCCAGTCATAATGGGACCAGCCGCTTCCCGCCCAGTCCTGCGGAATGGTTGGCCAGCACCACCGCTGGCAGCTCCTGGGAAGATGGGAAGAACCCGAGACAGGGCAGGGCTAGAAGGCTTTTCGGCTCTGGCCAGGTGGGTGTTTCCTAAACAGGATTTGGGTCTGCAATCTGCAAAGGTACCTGCTTGGGGTTGTTGTCGAGGAAACCCATTTGGTGCTTACCGCCGTGTGTTGCCCCTTCAAAATTACCTGCAAAGGGAGATCTTATGAGAGTCTGGTGAAGCAAATGGCATCCCTTTGTGTTGAATCCAGATCACAGCTTTCAGAAAAAAGAAAAACAAGTTACGCTCGGTGTTTACACTTGCTCCCCCTGTCCCAGTGAGCCTTCCGCCTCCCCCCTGTTCAGCTCGCCTGGTTCTGGAGCAAGGCGTTGGGCAAGTGCTGCAGGCGGTTTAGGTCGAGCATGTTCACCTTGTCCTGGATACAAGTATTCGCTCACTCAACTGGCCACCCAGAAGCACGACTCATAGCCCTACTGCAGAAGCTGTGGGTTTTAGCCCCTCTTGAACTTTGCCGCGAAGGTGAACTTGAACATGCTGCATGCTACACCCATGAAAACTGCAACCTCACTTGCAGCGGCGAACAAAAGTAGTCTCTGGGTGCAAGGGTAATTGTCAAGAGACGGCAAGGTGACGTCCCGTCAGACGCTGTACACCGAACCCTCCAGCTGTAATACCAACCACGTAGAAAGGTGTATACGGTCAAACCGTTATAGCCGAACCCGTGTAAACGTTGTAAGGGAGAAGGAATAATAGTTACAACAGTGGTCCTGACAAATGCAGCGCAGGCGAAGTGTTTTCCGCTCTCAATTGCCGATCACGTATGAACGCAGCTACACATAAGATCTTGAACCTCAATCGTGTCTTGAGCCAAATGGCGATCAATGGAACCTGGTAAGCAACACAAACACGGACCTCAGAACTGCTTCCCAATTTGGGCACGGGGCCAGGAGGGTTTTAACATCCCCCATTTGGGTCGCATTGTTCATCATGCGGTCCAAACACCACAAAACGTTCCACTGGCCACGGCTTCAGCTACGAAACTGTGTCGTGCACTCTTTTACTTGCTATCGCTACACCGTTCATTCATTGTGAAACATGCCGGGTCCGATCGATAAAAAGAAACATGCATCCGCAGATCAGCACGCCCCCATATGCAGGTGTATACAATACACTATTGTCACGTCATTTGACCACCATTGAACATCCCAGCTGCCGCATTTGCGCATCGCGCAGCCGTCATCCATAGGAAATGGGTTGGCCATAGAAGTTCAACAGAAGCGCCTGCTCGTAAGCAATCTGCATATCACCGGCAAAGAAAATATCGGTGAGCAATCAATGCAAATCATAGCCATTCCAGATACCATGAATAATATATATATAATGAAAAGGAAATCATCCATGAGGTAATAGTTCCATCCATGAATATCCGGAATGTCATAGTAGTCGGAATATGTAAACGTATACATATCCATTCATCTTGGACGCATGAAATCATATCATGATGTAAAGTCGTTCCATTGCAACGATGTTGATGAGACGCAAGCAACGGATGGGGACTAACCCACATCGTGCCGCAATCAACATCTGCATCACGCGTACCTGTCCCCAATGGACAGTCGGTGAGTGCGTCGACGGAACTCTTCGTCCAAATTCTTTTGGGCTTCTCGCGCCCGGACACACTTCTTGTTATGATCCTCTGGTATCCAATGCCCTTTTCGGAGGCACCAATCCAGCAGAGGTGTATCGCATTTATTCGGATCGATGGCCGCAATAATGGCGCTCACATTGACCGAATAACCATGTTTGCCAAGGTTCAGGCCATCCCTCACGAATGATATATACTTACAGTTGAAAGCCAGCGAAAAGCATCTGTAAATAATATCACCCACCGGGCGCACGCGGTCCTTGACCAGGAGCTTCATTTCGTCCTCGGTGACGTCGAGGATTCTCGCTGCAATCCACAGCTTGTAGAATGTGTATAATCCCTCGCACTTGCACACCATCATACGAATGTAATCTTCACGCTCCTCAGCCGACCGGAAGACCCTTGTCCGAACATTCTCGGATTGAGAAATCTTCAGTACCGTTGATGGTAAAAGGATCCCTTCCTGATCGTGCTCAGTCATGTTGGGGTACCTCTTGAAGTCGTTGTGGTAAGGGCAGCCCGGCCTCCCCTCGAGTCCGGCATTCAACGTTCTCTCCTCACCACCTTCGAACATCCCCCACATCTTTGACATCTGCAGTGCGATGAATCCCGCCATGTATTGAGCCTCGCGCGGCTCATCAAGGCAAATCGCCATCCGCTGGGAATTTATGATATGCCGTGATGTCAAATCAGTGTCGCGGTACTGCCAACCGCCATCTTCCTCTTCAGACACGTAGCCGGATGTATACCCTTGCGTGTCCATGTCGTCATCTTCAGGAACTTCCTCCGCCTCGTCATCATCCTCCTGTGCTGCCGCATCATGGTTGGCTTCTTCTTGTGCGCGCCTGGCATCACCCGAGACATTGGGCTTTTGATTGTCCTCATCGTCGTCGGAATTGATGTGGATGTAGAACCTCCCGGTGGAGATCAGTTGCGCTCCACATTCCAGGCATAAGCAGAAGCATGTGGGGATTGCGGTCGCACATGACGGACATATCCGGCACCTCAGTCCTTCCCATGTCTCGTCATTCAGGATGACGACTTTGCTGACCTCGTCCCTGACCTCGTTGGTCTGCGCATCGAACTCCTCCATCTTGTTGTCCCGGTAAAGTTCGCATGCACGATCGACCATGTCTTTGATGTAGTGCAGATTATCGGCACCTGCCTCGGTCTCAGGCATCCTCTCGTTGATCTTTGCGACGTTCTGGAGGAACATCGCAGCCGACTCTTGGGATGAGTTGACGAAACCAGGACAGATCTCGTTCTCCACACATTTCGAGTACGCTCTCTTGATGTCGCCGTACTCCAGGCGTTTCCCTCCGTTGCTTTTGCCAATCCAAATGGACTTGACCTCATAGAACGGGATCACGTCAAAGGCCATGAATGTCCCATTTGCCGCGACTCCAGCTCCATACCGCGCGAGGGTTGCACTGGGAATGTAGATGATCGCAATCGGATCCCCCGTCCTTACGTTTTGTAGCGTCACCTTTGTCGCTACGTTCATCTCATCCCATGGAGCAAATGCTCCGAAGTGCAGTGCTAGCCTGTTTCCGCCATCGATTCCGCCGGGGACTAGCCCACAGCGTACGATGCTTGGCAGGTTTTCCACATACGTCACATGGAATGCTCCTCCGAGAGAATCACCCATCCTTGCGGAATACCTATTTGCCAGTGCGGATGAGCTCATGAATCCAAAATCACTGTGACCAGTTGTGACTCGGATGCACCAAGGCCTGTACCATCCATCGCATCTGTTGAACATCCTGTCGATGTCATCCCGATCCAGGCCAGCCTTGGTCATCTCCTCCCTGGCCGCCCTCGTGTCATTCGGGTTCATGATGCTTGGAAACCTTGCTGCCAGGACCTGAAATCTCGATTTCTTATGTCCGGACTCCTGCCACTTGATCACTTCCATGATGCCCATGTATCGTTTTGCTCTCGAGGTTGTAGGTGGGAATATGTCGTTGTTCCGGTCGTCAATGACTGCATCAATGTCGACCCATCCACCTTCGTCGCATCTGAAAACACTTCCTCGGCAATTGCCGATTTTGTGCCGAAGGACTCTGCATAGGTTGTGAGATAGCTGGTTTGCTTGATCTTTCGTAGCAAATACCGAGCGATCATCGCCAATCCTGCATAGTGGAGCACCGTCAAAAGGAGCAACGCAGAAATTGACGCTCTTGCCAAGCTGCATCACATCCACCTGCTCAAGGTTGGCACCTTTGGGAAAGTAACTGGGGTCAACACTAGACGCATACGCCCACGGCATATGCACGTTACTCACGTCGCCATACTTCGGGATGTAGCATGGAATGGTGTCACATCCTCGCTCTAGCGTCGTCTTGAACGTTCTGTTGTCCCCGCACGGATTGTGGGTGAGGTCCACGCCACCGCATTGTAGCTCTCCTCCCTCAGCCGTGTCAGCCATCTCCACCAGATTGATGGTATAGCTATACATTTCAATTGTTTCTTTCCCTGCTTGTCCTCCTCTCTTGCGTTCCTTGGACGTTGATGAGGACGGCTCTTCCGTATCCCCCATTTCTTCATCCGAGGAAACAGGATCACTGCTGAGTAGTTCACGGATCTTCTTCATCGCCTTCTCATTCCCAGCAGCCTCCTCATAGTCCTTGCAGTCGCCGTCGTGGGCCAGGTTCGCGCACCTCATACAAATTCCCATCTCTCCCATGCACTTCTCCATTGATTCCAGGAATCCGAGTGCCGCGCCCATCAATCACTCGCTGCTTCTTTTCTTCTTTCTCAGCGTTGGGCTGAGAGCTTCGGCTCGGGTCTGGTGCTTGACCAAGACCGTCGCCTTTGCCCTCCGTTGCCTTTTTCTTGGATCCTTGGGTGGCGGGCTCGGTCATCAGGGATCGCGGATGTCTGGGCTTGATCTTGTTCATGATGTCCAGCACTTCTTTCGTGGGCGCCCCGAGTTGGGCGGAAGGCTTATTCCGCTTTCGGTTCTGGCCCGTCGTGTGGCTCACGTTCCCGGCGAGGCGTCGTACGATTGACTGCTCGAACTCCCTCTTGATCTTCCACACATCCTTCCACAGCGGGAGTTCGTGCTGAAAGTACGACATCACCTCAAAGAACCCCAATATCATCTCGACGACGTCCCCCAAGGATTCCTCATTCGAAGTCTGTCCCAGGAGGTCATACATCGTCCCCTGATCGAGCACGCTCTTGATCCAGGATGAATAGGCCACGTTGCCAAGATCCTTGTCTATCATGAAGATGGAGGTCCTCTCCTCAACTCCCTCGGAGTTCTTGCACGTGATCACATCCCGGGATGCACACAATTGCTTCCCGTGACCGTTGTTGTAGAACTGCGCTGCTTGATCCATTGTCATGCTCACGAAACCCACGTGGGATAGCTCCTTCTTCAGCTTGGAATATGCGAGTTCCCGAATAATCGTGGTCATGGCCTGAACATTGTTGACGTCCACCATGAGGTTTTGAAGATCAGGGATTGCTACCACGCATTCCGCGAAAAGTCGCGTATACAGCTTCCTCCCCTCAGTTGATCTCACAATACCGTTCGTGTCCGCATTCCAGTTCGCGCAACAGTTCACGCAAGAAGTGGGATTGAATTTCGAGTTTGATCCGAGCACCTTAGACTTGTTCACCTGCATCTCTCTCACACAAAGTTCGCAGATCAAACCACTGAGCTCGGTGACCGAATACCATCGAAGACGTTGATCACTGACATCGGTGTTCCCAAACGCATCTTGTCCGCCGTGCCCTTCGTCTTGCCGTTCTTGTTTCCGCTT